ATAATAATAATAATAATAATAATAATAATAATAATAATAATAATAATAATAATAATAATAACAACAACAACAACAACAACAATAATAATAATAATAATAATAATAATAATAATAAGTATTATTATTATCATTATTATTATTATGTAGATGTTTTGTTTTTTAGTAGTAAAGTAGTTGTTGAACATGTGCAGACCATAAATATGGAGTCCAGGTGTGTTTCATGCTGCTGGGCAGACTGACCACAGGGAAGCTCTGAGCTGTTCTGGCCCACTCTGTGGAAAAATCATGAAGAATTAGTCCAAGTACAGGATGCCGATCCACCACATCTTTGATTGCACCATTAATGCTAAATACGGGTTTATGAGCAGCATGCGCTCACAATCAGATTAGTTCGTTTTTCTCCTTTTCAGAGAAAACCTTTCATACATTCTTAAACCTGTTAGAAGACATACAGCATGAGTATTTTGAACTAAATGCAAGCGATGGAGTGTTGAATACCTAAACAGAGAGAATTGCAGCAGTCCAGTCTAGAGGTGATGAAGGCATGAATAATTTTCTTTTAGATCTTTAGAAGGAAGATAAGGCTTCGCTTTGGCAATTTCATGTAACTGATAAAAACTGTTTTTCACAACTGTGGACACTTGCTTCTCTAATTTAAAAGAGCTATCTAAAAACACTCAGAGATTTCTTATTTTCGTTTAGGGTGAGAAAATTCAGTCTTTAACATCATGTAGACAGTTAAGGAAAGGTGGCAGTGGGACAGAGACATCCAGTATCAAGGGGAAGTAAATTTGGATGTCATCAATATAACAGTGAAAGGCAATGTTGTATTTCTTGAAAATAGATCCCAAAGGCAGGATGTATAAAGAGAAGGGAGTTGGGCCCAAAACAGACCCATGTGGCACACCGCAACAAATAGGGGCGGAGGAAGAGGAGTATTCTTCAGTAGCAACAGAAAAGGACCTCTCTGATAGTTATAATTTAAACCCTGTTTATTACGGCTCCTTTAAGACCAACAATGTGTTAAAGTCTCGATAAAAGAATGTTATGTTCAGCTGGACTAGAACAACAGAAAATCAAACATGCCAGAACATGTTGAATAAAAAAGGTTAGCTAGCTCTTCAACCACTAGTTCCAAACTAAAGTTGTGTTGGGATTAGATAATTTGCAGTGCCTCAAAAATACTATGCTTTTTATTAATAACAAGTGTTATAAAGTTATAGAGTACAGTATTAAGTGGACACAGCCCTGAAAAATAAAGGCATGAAACCATGTGTGCTGCGAGAGTAGAAAGCTGCAGACTCTTGCTCACACTTGCGTTGGAAAATGTAGATAAGAGGGGACCATCTCTAGTGGAAGGTTACTGAGACACTGTTGTTTAGACTAGAATGAGAGAGCATCTGGAATAAAACTGTTAGGGGCACAGCACCATTTTGAGATCCGTGGCAACGTGTCATGCAGGACGCATCTCCTTTCTAGAAGTAATGTGAAAGAGAAATAAAGGGTTAAATGGTCTACTGAGCAGTGTTTTGTCTTCCATCGGATGCCTCTGAGGAACCAAAAGAACTCAGCGAAGTGTTGATATTTACAGTTGGCATCATACATCATACAGTTAGTAAAAGCAGAGAATAGTGAGCAGCGGTCAATGACTTTATCATGCGTAACTGATGCACAGGTCCCTCACTGTTCAACTCCACATTACACACTGCGATATTAAACATCACTGGGAAATGATCTGATATCCCACAGTCCTTGATTTCTGTAATACAAACATCCAGACTGTTTGACAGCACCTGAACAAGTGTGTGGCATTTCGTGAGTTGGATCACACCCACTGAGTAAGATTAAAGTGTCCATAAGGGAAAGGAAGTCCTTTACTAGTGGTCTAGTCTCACAGCGTACATGGATGTTAAACTCAACAACAATTAAAACACGGTCATATCCTAGCATAAGATTCCCTAGTAAGTCTGCAACATCAAGATTAAAATCCTTAATGCATTTCAGTGGACGATACACCACAGCTCAGAGGACTGAGGGAGCGGAGTTCAGTTCCAAAAACTGCACCTCAAAGCTGGGGTAGAAAAAAGGTGGCAGTTGCCGGCAGCGAAACTTGTTTTTAAATACCAAAGCTAGCCCTCCATCTCTACCAGTGATCCGGGGAGAGCTGAGAAATGAACAATCGGGGGGATGGAGTTCCGAGA